TATGTCCCCTGACCGCATGGCTCCTGTGAGTGCATGTGTGTACGTGCGAGCAAATGAGAGAGTGATCACACTTCACCGGTGGAAACTTTAAACATGTTGAAGAGATTTATTAGGATGACCACTGCAAAGCGTTGTTACCGCCACCACACACACACACACACACACACACACACACACACACACACGCACACACACACACACACACACACACACACACACACACACACACTCAGAGCTCTTTCCATTTGTCCGCCGGGCCCGTGGATCTGATGCAGACGTGCTTTCTGATGCACTTTGCTGCGTTCGAATAGCAGATGCAGAGCCAGGCCAAATGTGAATTGTCATCTTATTTAACGGTCTGTGTACCCACCAACCTAACACATTTACATCATATTTAATGGTCCGCGCACCTCTCACGTTCCTTATTCACAACACTGCACCTCTTGAGCACGCGGAAGAACTATTTGGCAGCTCGCCTGAGAAGCTAGCATAGCAATCTACTCATGCACTCAGTGCTCCTCCTCGTCAAACATCCAAAGCACACCGCACGAGTCACAACAAAATGCACTCATGCTAAGTTCACTTCTCGCTAGCTGATTTCAAAGATTCAGTTTTTAATTCGCGCCCTTTAACGCGACATCTCTTGCGTAAATGGAATCAAACGTTCTTATTTGTGCAGCAATGAGCTGAAAGGAAATGCCTGAAATGTGAACAAGTTCAAGGTTGCTGACGGAGAAAAAGTCCACTAAAAGCTCGCTGAGCTTTTCTGCCATTAGCGTGTACATTAAATGCTACTTACGCGTGAAGGCATTCGCCAAGAAAGTGCTACAAGGACTTGGGACATTTCTCTGCACTCTGAAAATGGTTCGCTTTTTCGCTGATCCCGCTGATAAAATGATGACAGCTGTAGCTCAGCTCAAGCGAGCGGTCAAGGATTTGCATTTTGTTTTTCAGCCTTTTAAAACATTCCCCTGTGTGTTTGTGACATGATTTTGTCAATACCACCAAAATAAAGAATACAAATATATACGGTCAAACCTCGGTTTTCGAACGTCTCGGTTCTCAAACAATTCGGTTTTCGACCAAAAATTTCGAGTTTTTTTATGCGTCGGATGACGAACAAATTTCGGTTCTCGAACGAACTGAGCGCACTTGAATGCGCCATTTGACTCCTCTCGCCTTCGTTACACGAGGAAGTGACGCTTCCTCGTGTTGCTTTCCATTGTAAGCAGACGTGTTCAGTAAACATTTTTATTTTAAAAACAGCGTGGTTTCGGTTTTCGAACAATTTCGGTTTTCAAACAGCCTTCTGGAACGGATTATGGACGAAAACCGAGGTTTGACTGTATATTTTTTTTTTTCTGTCCATCCATTTTCAAATGTGCTTATCATCATTTGGGTCACGGGCGAGCGATCTAGCTATCTTGCTAGCTAGCTAGCTAGCTATCCATCTGTCTCTCTAATTTTAAAAACATAAAAATGATCACAAGTAGACATTCTCTTCCAATATTATTCCTGTTCTGGTGTTTGTGCTTCAGCTGCAACTTGTGTGCGCCTGTGAGGGTAGGGAGGGCGGGATGAATCTTTCACTGACTTGTGCGTTAGGTTAGAGTTCGTATACGTTCTCGGGTATTTACAAGCGTGACCGCGTTCGATTGCATTGATATAATACAGGCCAAGTGCGAAAAAGCGAGCATTTTTTCCCATAATGCCACGGGGGATTGATTTGCGCATGCGCAAGTTCCATGTTAGCTGGGATTTTACTTCCTACAGTTTGACACTTTTGGACAATGAGAGCGCGAATGGTCATTCGTCGGTGTGTGCGCTGCCATTGGCTGGCAAGCAGTTGAGGGGGTCCCCCGCCTCCTGCCCGGAGACAGCTGGGAGGGGCTACGGCACGCCCGCGGCCCTCGTGAGGAGAAGCGGATTACAAAACGGATGATGGGTGGATCATCGCACATACCTCGGGTCAAATTGACCATGAGCCATTATTGCCGTTCTCGTGAATCAAAATCTATCTGTTGTTTGAGCAACATGATATGTATTATACTGTATTTGTATTCATGAGATTATATACGATCTCATGACTTCTTCTTTTGAGAGTGAATATTAAAATCAATTCATTTAAAATCGGGAGGGGGAGGGTGCAATTATAAAACAGCTTGAAAAGTGTTTTCCTCGCCAAAATACCGGGATTATAATCGAGTTTGAAATGGTCATTCTCAACCTTGGGGATATTATTGTTGGGGGGGAACCCCCCCTCACTGTTGTTCAGCAACATGTGTCTCTGCCCAAACTCACCCTGGCCGCTTTGGAGGAGTAGGGGTCGTCAAAGAGGGCCCAGATCTTGGGCTGCCAAACTTCGCAGCAGCCCCTGGACCTACCCGGACACTCCTCGATGCCGAAGCGCCGCGGCGCTTCGCCGCCGTCGTCGTCGGCGTCGTCGTCGGGCTCGGGCGGCTCGAAGGTCTCCAGGGCCTCCTCGGCGTCGCGGTGCTGCCGGTAAGTCATCCAGCAGCACGGCTCCACGTCCGTCTCGTCGATGCCCCAGAAGGCCAGCTCCTCCTCGAAGAGCGGCCCGCACACGTCGGCCGGGCAGTGCAGCTTGCCGGTGCGGTAGTAGTTGAGCACGTAGGCGAAGATGCCCGGGTGGCGGTCGAAGAACAACTCCCCGCCGCCGGCGCCGCTGCTCGACGGCGGCGGGGAGTCGCACGACTCCGCGGAGTCCGCCTGCGGCTCCGGGTGGGCCAGCCACGCCAGGCGGGTGCCCGGCAAGGTGCGCAGGGTGCTCTTGTAGGTCTCGTGGCGGGTGCCGCCCACGTTGATGATGATCTTATCCGAGTCTTCGCCTCTGGACATGTCCTCCTTCAGGCATGATTTGGACGGAGGCTTGTTGCCGGACTTGCGTCCTCGGTATGACGAAACGCACACGGAGCTGATCATCGTCAAATCGGCGCGCTGGGACGACGGCTGGCTGGCTGCTCCGTTTTTTTGTGTCAAAACGGCGAGCGCGCCCTCATCGCGGCGCCCTCATCGCAGCCCAACCACTTGTTTGCCCAACCGAGCGCGGATGGAGCGCCGCTCACTTTCGAGTGACCGGGCGCGCGTTCGGCGCTCCTTGCCAAACCTCGGCCCCCGTGCCTTTTTTCTCCCCCCCTCCCTTCGTTGTTCACCTCCGGAATGTGCAACTTGGCCGACATTCAACAGTTGGAGCAGATGTGCGCCAGTTTTCCGGCGGGGAATCGCTGTTGAAGGGATGCGCTTCTTCCTCCCCCTCCGCCGGAGCGCCGCTCACTTTCGAGTGACCGGGCGCGCGTTCGGCGCTCCTTGCCAAACCTCGGCCCCCGTGCCTTTTTTCTCCCCCCCTCCCTTCGTTGTTCACCTCCGGAATGTGCAACTTGGCCGACATTCAACAGTTGGAGCAGATGTGCGCCAGTTTTCCGGCGGGGAATCGCTGTTGAAGGGATGCGCTTCTTCCTCCCCCTCCGCCCCGACTACGCCGCGCCGCGCCGCGCCGCGCCGCGCCGCGCAGCTCGACAACAGGCTCCGCTTTAACTCTTTGACTGCCGGCTCGTCACACGACCGCTCCCTCCAGATCATGCAACACCTCTTTCATGGAAATAATCCTAATAATGACAAACATGGTCGGAATTTACGCAATATTTCATGCGAGCGGCAACATTTCAATTGGACACAATCGCCTTTTCAGCATCCTGCCAGTGTGAAATGATGTTTTTCTGTAACATTATGCACCTGCTGTTCACGGAGAAACGTACTGAATCGGCCTCAAACGGTTCGGAGTTCCAACAGATGTCGCAATAGGGCAACAAGGCGGCACATTTGTGGAAACAAAGCACAATCCTCAACACGGCAGCGTGAAGATACTTTTTAATTTCTGCAGCGGTTTCGCAACAGCTGCAGCGCTACCCTTGTCAAAAGCTTCTCAACTCACTCCAACATAATTCTTTGGCCCCAAGAAGCCGGCGAAGCACCAACCTTGTCCAAATGAAGCTCCTCAATCACGCCAAAATAGTTCTGTGCCACCAAGGTGCCTCAAGATGACCGCACGGCACTACTTTCGTCCGAACCAAGCTCCTCAACTCATTTCAACATAGTTCCTTGGCACAGGATGGTGCGAGATGGTGGAAAAAAACACTGGTTTGGTTGAAACATCCTGTCCCAAGCAATACCTTTTTTTGTTTGCTTTGGCCTGAGCACGAAAACAGCAGTTTAGTTTTATAGCAACTAACATGGGATGGCTAACCTAAAAACGCAGGGTTTCACTGTATTTTGTCCTTCTCATGTTGAGAAGGAGACACAACATGATTTTCTTTGTCCATCCATCCATCCGTTTTCGAATCCGCTTATCTTCACAAAGTTCGTGGGCGTGCTGGAGCTGATCCCAGCTTTCTTCGGGCAGTAGACGGGGGACACCCTCAACTGGTTGCCAGTCAATCCACAAACATACAAAATACACACAATCTCACCACGGGACAATTCAAATTGTTCCATTCATTTGTCATGCGTGTTTTTTGGAATGTGGGGGACGTAGATGAATTGAGAAAACCCATGCAGGCACTGGAGAACATGCAAGTCCACGCAGGAAGGCCAGAATCAGACCCTACACCTCAGGACTGTGAGGTGGACGTGCTAACCAGTTGCCCAACATGCCACCACACACACTAAAAAAGGGCCGTGGGGTGGGGGGTGGGGGGTACTTCCAAGCGTTCTGCAAGAAGTTATCCAATTTCATTGTTTTTCCATTTCATTTTCATGAAAAAAAAAAACGTTGTATTAAACACGTGCATCAGCATACGGAGGCAGCCAGGACAATTAAAAATATTGTCCACTAGATGGCAACAGCTTTGCGTTTTACCTCCACCACCTTCGTGTCATTCAATTGGGATGCATGAATGTTGCACTTGTCGGAGTTGGCTACTTCAGCTGTCATTTGCTCTTCTACATGCCTCCAAACGAACTGAAGTGGCAAATAGAACAAAATAAACTGTAGCTCTTATCACTCAGGAAGGAAGCGGGATGCGCTTGATGACCATT